GGGTGGGAGGGGAGGGTGACTAAAGCCTACCTGTCTCTCTGCTCTTTCCCCGGCTGCTGCTCCTTCCCCACGCTGGGCTCTGTGTGAGAGGAGTAAACAGGAAGTGATGTCACTTCCTGGCCCGCCTCTCTCCATCACACAGAGCACCGCGGGACAGGGAGAAGGAGACCTGGCAGAGAGGAGGTGAAGCTGCCAGTTCTCATGGGGGGGAGGGAGGGTGGTTGCTGGGGCCCCGCGCTGCATCAGGGGCCCCAGCAACCCATTGAAGGAAATGATTTTTTTATTTTTTGCCGTTCCAGTTGGAGAGATCTCTGATCTGATCTCTCCAGCTGGAGCATGGCTTTGCAGCCGGGCCCCTGACTGCCTCGGGCCCTCGGTCCATGACCGAAGTGCCCGAGTGGTCAGTCCGCCCCTGGTATTACTACTATTCATATCTCCAGGAAGTATTGAAGGTTCACTCTAGGTGAACCTTTTATACTTTTGGGCATAATTACTTTGTATTGTGTCACGAGTTAGTTCCATTTATCATCCTGGCTTGGTTCATCATGTAGAATGGCATAGTTTATAACATTAATCTCATAGGCTATATCACAAGTGATATCAGTGTATAGCTATAGTGACCATTGGACCAAAGATAAATTCACAATAGGTACCAGTATAATCAAAATGAGGAGTGCGCTACCTGGAGCTATGTACAATGAATCATATGATGCCCATTTTCCAGCAAGAACCATGGGCGTCTGCAGAAATTTTTCCAGGGGGATAATTATAATGATATCCATGCTTGGCCCCTTTTTGACAGTGTCATGAAGGGGAGGGCATAGTCATTATCACATAAAGCCTGGGTAAATAGCGTTTTCACAACTATGGTGTCAGGAATACATGTATGTATTCCTGAAACTATAGTGTTCCTGTAATCAAATTAAAGGAACATTCTGGTCACCATAACAACTTAATCTAAATGAAAATGCTATGATACCAGGAGGCCCATGGGTGCTCTCTTTCCTCTAAGGGGTTAAACCTCTATCAAATGGTTTAACCCCAAAGACTTCCTCCAGTTCCAGATCACTTAGTGGTATTTGGCTTCAGATTGACATCAGGCATGGATGCCACTGATTGGCTAGAGTCAGCTGATGCTCTAAGCCAATCGCTAGTTCCCGGTTCAAAATTGTTTTTGTTACTTGTTTATGAATGGGGAGCTACTGATTGGCTTAAAGTGCCAGCTGATCACTCTAGCTAATCAGCAACACCCCTACCCAATGCCACTCTGTGCATCCTGACACTCAGTAAATAAAAGACACATTAACAGATTTTTATCACCTGGTGTGATAAGAAGGTCCAATGTTTCCCTGCCAGGCCCAGGTTCCAAAGCATTATGATGTGGTGTACAGAATAAAGTGGAGGGATCACTTCACTTGTCCTTCTTGATCCAATCTCCTTTTCTTCTTCTTCATTTGACACTCTTCTTGTCAGGGATCCGCGGGCGGCTAGGAGGGGAGGCTGCACGCCACTTGCAGCACTCACCCTCAGTCCATCGCCACCCGCGGTCTCCCCTCCTCTTACCTGTCGGCGAGCGGCGTCTCCTCTCTGCCACTCGCGTCCTCCACGCCCCCCAGCGGCAGCATGTATAACGCTGCAAGCTGGGAGGTCACTGAATTATGCAAACGCCGGGGTCACGTGAGTGACCCGGTGTTAAAGAAACAGTACCTCAATCACAGTGGGAGGTATAGATATCCCCCACGTGTGATTGTTAATTCTGATTGGAAGTTATCCAATCAGAATTAAGCCAAGGGTATTTATACTTACCTTTCCTGTCCCTCAGTGCCCTGTTGTGGTCTTGTGATACCTGTACTGCTGTTCTCTCGTGTTGCTCTCTGGTTTCCGATTATTTGGCTCGTTATTCCGATTATCCTGTCTTCTCCACTCCTTTGACCTCGGCTTGTTTCTCATTCTCCCGTTTTCTGGCTCCCTTTACTTGGCTTGTCTCCTGACCATTCTTAGTGTGCTTAGCCCGGCCACTCTAAGGACCGGTATAGCACCCTTCCTGTCTGTGACCTGTTAGCGTGTTAGGTTCCGGAATCGTGACATTACAACAGGGCCACCATGGAACCTGCTGACATTCCACAGCTGTTAGTAAATCAGGAGGCTAGAATGGATGGTTTAGACCACCGTATGGATCAGTTTGCTCAGGCTTTACAAACCATACTGGCTCGTACTGCCCACTTGCAACCTGCCGTTCAAGAAGCTGTTGCTACCGTGCCAGAACCCATTCCTGATCCAGTACCCGCTCCTGCTCACGAGGTTCACATGACGCCACCTCAGCGCTATAGCGGTGATCCAGCATTGTGCCGTGGTTTCCTCAACCAAATTGATATTCATTTGCTGATGAATCCTCGTTCCTACCCCACTGACAGAACCAAAATTGCTTTTTTGATCAACCATTTGTCCGGGAAAGCGCTAATCCCATGTGGGAGAATACGTCCCCAATGTCCTTTGCAGACTTTTTAACAGCTTTTAAACGTACATTTGATCAACCCGGACGGGTTGCTTCTGCTGGCAAAGCTCTGCTTAGGGTCCGACAGGGTAATAGATCTGTAGCGGATTATACCATTGAATTCCGCACTCTGGCAGCTGAAGTGGTTTGGAATAACGACGCTCTTGTAACAGCTTTTCAGGAGGGTTTGGCCGCTTACATATTAGATGAAATAGCATCCAGGGAAATGCCTGTTCTTCTGGATGATCTAATAGATTATATCCTTCTAATTGACAACCGTATTAGAGAGAGGCGTAGTCAAAGAAGGATGAATACACAGGGGTTACCTGCTTTACCCAGTACTGCATTACTAGCATTACCTCCCCCTAATCAACCACCTCCCGAACCCATGCAATTAGGTGCTGTAGGCTTATCTGAAGCTGAAAGAACGTACCGCAGAAGGGAGGGTTTGTGCCTTTATTGTGGTAAGAGGGGGCATCTCCGAAGAAACTGTCCTAGTTTGCAGGGAAACTCCAGCACCGAAGGCCTAGAGAGGGGTCGGCCTCGGGTGTTATGGTTTTTTCCCCTCATGTGTCCATCTCCAGACCATTTATTAAGGTTACTCTTTTGGTAAGAAACCACGATAACAACTAAAGCCTTGATCGATTCAGGTGCTGCAGACAACTTTATGGATGAGAACTTTGCTAAAACCGCAGCCTTGAATCTGATCCAAAAGGCAACACCCTTGGCCATTGAGGCCATAGATGGTAGACCACTTGATAAACCTCTGGTGACCCATGAAACCCAAGAAATGGTTATGGTCGTGGGTGCCTTACACAAAGAAAGGATAACCTTCCAAATAATTGACTCCCCTACAGCTTCCATCATTCTGGGCTTCCCCTGGTTAGTTAAGCATAACCCGGTACTTGATTGGGGTTCTCTAGATATACTCTCCTGGGGGGTATCTTGTCAACAAGACTGTATGGCCCGTTTACATCCCGTTTGTTTACTTAATGTGCCTACAGCTAAACCACTCTGTTTCTGTCCCTCTTGTGTATGCAGACCTCGTGTAGCGGATGGCACTGGGCTGTCCTGCAAATGTCCTTGAAATAATTGCATTCATGTGATCTGCTAGTTTTCTATGTGTTTTAAAGCCTTGTATTCTTTTGATTGTTCGGTAGTTTCATTCCCTTAGTTTATTCGAATGAAACTACCGAACAACCAGACCTCCCCTGTGTAAAGTGTGTCCTCAATTACCCGTTGCAACATTGTTGCGAACGGGTAATTGACTAGGAAGTAGCCGTCCTTTGTTCTCGGGGGTGGCCGCCATTCGACAAACGAACACGTGGCGGCGGCCATTTTAAAACTCCCGAACAGCGGTGTTTTGCCGTCGAGTGTCTGGAACTAAAATCGGACACTCGAGTAGGCGAACACCGCTGAGACCTCCACAGCCCTGGTCCGTTCGGTTCCAAACTACCGAACGGCCCCTCGTTCGGTAGATAGAAAATACCGAACGAGGGGATTCAGGCGAACCCTCCCTA